ATAGTTTGTGAACAAAATTAGTTGAATATCTATATAAAATAAACTACGTATTGATATGTGAACCCATTGTATATTATGTCGTACCACACTCTAATCTCAAATTTTATCATTAGTAAATTTAAATGAAAAAGGGTTGTACCAGGTGGGAGGGGCGATACATTCAATCGCATTTCTCCCATCGGACAAACCAATACTTTTTCTTTTAGTATTATAGTTAGGAAATTACAAAATTTAAAAACTCTGTCACTAATATAATTTGTATATACTATAAATGAAATTCTTATATCGAGTCGCCCTACCCCTGTTCTTTAATGCCAAATGTAATCTTTAGCAGAAATTATTAAAGGAGCAAGGATTAATCGTTTTCACTCTACCGCCCCTCCCATTTCCAGAGTTTATGTAATTTCACATGAATTTATCATAATTATTTTAAGAAAGACTTTGCATTGGAAAAGTTAGAATTCGAAAGAAAATTTTCAGTTTAAGAGTCATGATTGAGATGAGTTCTAAACCAAAGTAGTCATTTCATAGTCGCCTTTTCCCAACCTTTACTCAATCTGATATTTTTCAAGTTAAATAAATTTGGGACTATAACTCACAACTTATACTTGAATTTTATTGAATATTAATTATCGAATAATTTTTTTTCGGCGGCGATCCTCAAAGTCGAAATCTATATATGTGGGGTATCTTATCTTGATGAATAATGAGCTGTACTTGTCAGGAGAATGCGTTTCTGCAGTGAAGAATGCAAGAAAATGCTTTTGTAGTCGGGCTTCGCCACGAACTTCATTGATGAATAATGAGCTGTAGATGTCAGGAGAATGAGTTTCTGCAGTGAAGAATGCTTTTGACGAAGGGTTTTGCCCCAAACCCCACTAGGGAACCTTATAGCGCTGCCCCAGTTTTTCGCCGAAGGTTGAGAAATGCTGCTTTTTAAAATTCTCATCTATATATATTTCTTTACCATTTGTTCTCATGAACATTTATATCAAGTATGCATTATAGCTCATGTCTTTCTCGTACTCTAATCGTAGAACCCGTGGGCATAACATAAAAATACGTTACCATAAATAGAAATTAAAATGGACCTCATTCACCAATCGTAAACAAACAACATTTAGCCGCGTGGTGCTCTATCTCTTCCATATAATTTACGATCTCATGTTTAATTCATGATGTCACGTGACAGGTTTTTTTCCCGTTGTTTTATCAATAAAATCACGTGACTAAATGTTTGTTTACAATTGGTGAATGAGGTCCATTGGGTTATTGAAGGAGACGAATAAATCTTAGCATTTTTATCATCGAACAGCGAGTCGTTTTGATTTTGTTGTTGTTGTTTTGTTGTTGTTGTTGTTTTGTTGTTGTTGTTTTGTTGTTGTTGTTGTTTTGTTGTTGTTTTGTTGTTTTTGTTTTGTTGTTGTTTTGTTGTTGTTGTTTTGTTGTTGTTTTGTTGTTGTTGTTGTTGTTGTTGTTGTTTTGTTGTTTTTGTTGTTTTGTTGTTGTTGTTTTGTTGTTGTTTTGTTGTTTTTGTTGTTTTTTGTTGTTGTTTTTTGTTGTTGTTGTTTTGTTGTTGTTGTTGTTTTGTTGTTGTTGTTTTGTTGTTGTTTTGTTGTTGTTGTTTTGTTGTTTTTGTTGTTTTGTTGTTTTTGTTGTTGTTGTTTTGTTGTTGTTGTTTTGTTGTTTTTGTTGTTGTTTTGTTGTTGTTGTTGTTTTGAGGGTGTGGGGTGAGTACATTTGTATATGTACTTTATAGCAAAATTAAAGTTCCCCTTTCAGACCTTATTGTCTATAGAGCAAATGATGTACAAGTTATCTGTTTCTGTGGCCTACGGTTAACGAGGGTGTCATGTGGCCAGCAACACGACCAACCGCCTTTACCTTTCCCCAACTAATGTCAGCTGGGAGGACTCAGACAAAGATCCCGAAATTAAAAATCCCAGTTTTCACAAGGATTCGAACCTGGGACTCCCAGTTCGAAAGCCAAGTGCTTTACCGCTAAACCACCGCACCCTATTTTATAGAAGTTAAATACTGATATTTGATGGTGAATTGATATCGGATTTTAAATATATATGCTCAAAATTCTTAATGAGCTGATATGAGGAAGAAATTATTGTATTGTGATGTAGTCCGTAGATTGTTGTGTAATCCATACTGTTTGATTGGTCTTATCAAGACTTTTGAACTTAGATCTGTTTAGGATTATAAAGCTTTATGAATCTCCACAGTAGCATCTGCAACATTCATCCATTTTTCACAGTGGCAGCATCTGCACAAAATAGGCTATGTTGTAATGCACAAAGTATGTCTGAGTTGATAGAGCTTACGTCGTGGGTTCGATCCCCATACATACATTTGTTTCAATGGCAGCTAAAAATGTGAATGTTAAGCATACAATTTTATTTGGACATTTTTCTTAACTTTTTCTAGCCAGCTTTTTGCTGCTAAATTGAAAGCTCTTTTGCAGACTATGCCAAATAAAAATAGCGTGCAGTTTTTTTTTTGTTTTTTTTTTTTGTAATCTGCTATTCCACACTACCATACAGAGTGTTGTTTATGTTGGACTGTTGTGGTAATAGGTTCTGTATGAGATTAATGTACGATTAACAATTTTGTAAGCATGGGGCTGTATTTACAGTGTAGTGGGCGTGCGGGGTTTATAATGTTTAAGGGAATATTTACCAGGAAAAAGAAGAGGAGGCAGACAGAGAACGCAATGGGAAGACAACAAAAACAAATGCCTTAACAACTGCAGGGCCCTATGCGATACGGATTGCGCGGGGCACAGTCTGGATAGGGATAAGCATAATGTCAAAATTAAGATTTGTATCAGAAAATACGTTCGTCTCTGCATTCAATTTTTTATTGCGTGAAAACTCACAATGCCTTTTTTTTTTGTTCGCGCGTACGTTTGGCACCCCAATCTTTTTTTTTTTTTCATGAGATTGTTTATGAGTTTCAATAATTTCAGGAGATTCCCAGAACTTTTTCAGAAATTTTGCAATTTCGGGAGATTTCCAAGACGCCCTGGAAAATTCGGAGGCCGCAGAAATCCTGTTATTATATCTTTGTTATAATGGTTTAATTCAATATTTTACACCTAGAATTAGCGTGGCCCTATGAAAGTGCGTGGACCACTTCGGCCGCTTAGGTCTAAGGCCGGCTCTGGATAGTTGTTTACACTAGTACTAATCTGCTTGTATATTGCTTTGACAGTTGTCCTGTTTCGATAACACTTTGTTTATAATTGGTTTAACTTTCATCCTACATCCGCTACACTTGTTTGTGAATAACAAAAAGTCGACATAATATCGATCTGTCCCACCAATACCCAGCAGCTGGTCCATAAGCGTGAGTTTTGATTTAAATGTAGGCCTATAGTTTATATGAAGCATTTCGCCACAATGCGCAAAATTGCCCGAAAGGAACTTAACAATTGTTAACATTCTTTATACATTTCAAAGACATGAATATTTATCAAACAGTTGCAGCCTTTAGCATTATGTATGTGAATTTGATCGTAGAAGGTAATTGTTATCTAGAGCGTGCATTATTTAATTTAATTTTTGGAATTGTTTCATCGTCTCTGTTATTGAAAGAATGATAATTAAGATGATATGGTTATGTTGTGCAATGTTCGTGCAATCCCCAACTGACGCAATAATTTTAAAAACTCCCAAGTTCTAAAAAAATAAGTAAAGAAAGCAGGTACTATAAATGCAAATTCAGAGTAGGCTACCTCAAATGTTAATGGCAATAAACACAATGACATAGATAGTCCTGTTAAACTGTTTGTCATTAGTTTCTACACTATGTGGACTAAATGTTAGTCACCAATTCATTTCTTTTAATTGATTATTTTTGTATGTTAATTTGGTTTTTACATCAACACATTTTTATTTATTTTGTTATTTTATTTCTAAGGTTTTTGTTATTTTTGAGAGAGAACATATTTTTTTAATTCACAGTTCTTCCGATGGAAATGCTCGTTGATCCGCAGACCATTGAGCCTGGAATAACTGAACATTTGTTGATTAATTGTTCCATTTCTAAAAGTAGTGATCCCAAATTAGCCTTTTTATATTCTATCACAATTTCACGTACAGCCGACAATGAATCGGAGACCAGTTTCGAAGTAGCTTCGGTAAATATATTTACTAAAGAAGTAGCTCAAAACAATGCCGAAGTCGAGGGTGCTTTGTCTGTGGGTCAACTTAACAAAAATGGCGAGTCCTTCCTAAGTCTGCAGTGGATGTATCCTGTAGAACGTATGGTTGGTATATACAAGTGTGAAGCTCATGGAATGAGTCCGTCGGGAAAACCTGCCACCGAAAACAGTTTTAAAAATGTCAAGATACGAAACCTTGATTTTACTTTAGTAGCTGAACTGCTTAGACTAATTAAAATGCAATCAACTAAAACAATTTCGGAAATAAATGAACGGATCATAAAACAAGCTTCTGAATTTCAAAAAGAAAAAGGTCTGAACGATGTGGTGCTGGAGGGCTTAAGAAACGAGCTAGTCGTGAAGAATCAGGAAATCTTAGACTTAAAACAAGCTTTGGGAGAACAGAACACAACAACAGTCAATTTCATCAAATCTTTGAATGCTAGACTAGAGAGTTCAAGTCAATGGTTTTTTAAGGTCTCACCGGTTTATAAAGGCAGACGTTACTACCTGTCTCAACAAGACCCTGTTGTCAGATCTGAGGAGGCTATGGCTACCTGTGTTTTCTATGGAGGCTATCTGGCAGAGATTGATGATATGGAAGAACACGCTTTTGTAGTGGCTTTTATTAAACAATTCTCTGGTTTCAATCATGTACTTCTGGGAGGAACAGATGAAGACCACGAAGGTCTGTGGTTGTATCGAAATAGTAATTCTACATTGCCGCCGTGGTCTATTCGTCCACGACAAGGGACCCATTTCAATTGTCAATACTTATACGAAGGTTACAATTGGGCTGCCCTTGATTCACATTGTTATCTAAATTTGTCTCCAGCTCCTGGCAGATTTCTTTGTGAAATCCCTAAAACTGTCATTTAAACGTACGATTCAAATAGTTTACTGGATAATTGAAAGAAAAAAATGGATCGTTCATAGTGAGTTGCAATTTTAGATTAAGCCTAACTGGATAAACAATAATTCAATGTTCAAATCTTCTACATGAAAATCCCAGTTTAAGGTCAATTAAAAGGGGGAATAATAGTGTGATCTTATCTTATAAATTGCAGACGTTTCAACAGAGAAGATAATTACGTACTACACGTAGACATGTGTAAATCTAGTCGTGTATGTTAGAGACTTAAATTCTGTTTAGTCATTGTTTTTTTCCTGGCTGCTTGAGGCAACCCATTATAGGATGGCACTGAGTAAGAAGGAGCGCTTGTCTGACTTTGTCCTAGCATATGGTGTGTCTTTCTCGAGTATTTCATTAGCTTAAATCTGAGAATTAAAATTGAATAATCCCATTTATGCCGAAGGTTGCTTTTTTGTACATGAAATTCACATATATGGGGGGGGGGGGGGGAATAAGAAACAAGAATTTCAAGAAAAAAAAAGGTATTTAATCATTTTAATTCTATTGTTGACTTATGAGGTGTTCCAAAAGTTCAACATTAGGTAAATCCAGTACTAATACAAACATGTTTTTACCTGTTACTAAGTATGATTCCGCAGCAGAACATTTGCCAAGTAAGACACCATTCGATTTGTCACATCGCAATGTGGTGTTCGTATGACATTGAACACACTGTGTTGGCTTTTTCTGTTTGACTATCACGTGATTCAAACTATCGTAACTTGAATCAATGACGCTGGTCTTTTTCGGTCAGGGTCAGCAAACGATCGTGACTCTTCTAATAGTAACATGCGATACATCGCTGAAACTCAAGAAGATTCATTGACTTCTTATAATGTGATATATGCAGTTGACATGCATTTTGTAAATTCAGTACAGAACATTAGGTGACTTGAATACCCTTTCTTTACCAGGTACTGATGCCCGATAGTTATCGATGTTTTCATCAGTTTTGTCTTACACCTCCCATGAACTGGTTATTCGACAGTTGTTGGCTGCAGCTTCAATTTTCAGGAGGTTTATTTACCAGTTGTAAATAACGATTGACTGGACACAGGGGATAAACGCCACCAGCAGACGATGCTACATGGGCAACAGTGTTATCTTACCTTCTGCAAACAATATTGCCTTTAGCATCAATTACTCAATCGAATGTGCCTCTCTCTTTTCTTGAGCATTACTTATAAAACAATGTGATCCTTTCTTACTGTAGCTGCTGCCTAATGCCCCATTGAACGAAGGTTAACTGACTACTTCAAATCTGGTTTATAAATAACTAATTTGTTAATTTTTTTTTATTGATTCATCAACAATGGAGCGAAAAACGTGCAAAAGAATCCTGCAAGGCTGATAAACGGAGTGAATTAATTTAATATACGCTTTGTTTAAAAAAAAGTTCAACCAAGGTAACCCAACGGATGCCTGGTTCCGAGGCGCCAAGATAAGGCTACGGGAACCGGTTAGGTTCAGCTTCAGAGACAAACCATGCGCACACACACAGTCGTACATAAAGTAACTATGTGAATGTTAAATTAAACAAGATGAACATAATGATTAATATATAATGAATAGGATACTATTATACCCCGGTATGTTAAATTATCTGCTAATAGTTTCACAACTATCAGAATATAAATTTTAAAAAACTAAGATATTTCTTTTCAATAATATTAATATCACAATTAATAATAAATAAAAATGTATTCCCCTCGCTTAATATTGGATAAAATAACTTTTAGTTAACAGTATTATACAGCAGCAACATCACATTAGATTTGAGGACAAGCTTGATTGCCAACAAGTATGGAACTCGTATCCAGGCAATAGTAAGATCAGGATAATGTCACGACACGGGCAATCACTTTAATCAAGTGCTCAAAAACTGACACTAGTGATCCTAAAATTGCATCAGCACATCTGTACTGTTAATGATATTCCAAAATAGGCAACCTATAAAATAATTTAACAAAACTGATGTCTAAACTAAAACTAGGAATACAAATCGTGTCCTCATAGAAATATAAAATTCTGTGGCATTTTACGTCTCAAGAGATGATATTTTCCCTTTGTAACTTCTTGTGTGACTAAAGATGCCAATCCTTGATACACAGCTGCGATCGCAGGTTGGGCATATATAATCACCAGGCGCCGTTTGCATTTTCACCCTTCTTTCTGCTTCTGTTGTGTATGGCATCTGCAATCCGAGACCCTTTCTTTATGCTCTCTTACCATGTGGACCTATCCAGTGCCAACTCTTTTTCCCAGCTGCTAGTGTCGATATATAAAATTATATCTACTAGAACAAATCCAATTCAGTAAAAACAGGACTGTCCAGGGATCCAACCATCAAAAACGAACAAAACCTTCACATAGATGGAGGGGATTCATTTTTTTTTCCTGTTTTGAATGTTCCTTTAGACTATGAGTATAATTACTTCCTAAACGTTTCTAAGACCAGATTAAGCGCCAACTTGCCTTAGCTGACATAGAAGAGATCACCTGGTTACACGCGGCATAGGAATGAGACAGCTGAGGTCACTCACAAAGGCCGCGGGATACACATTTGAGACCAAAAGAAAATCCGCAGCCGAGGACTGACGCAGGCGAAATGAAAATCTAACTCGACCACCTGCGGTTTTGCTTGCGCTCTGTGTGGCAAAATATGTAGGTCACAGCTGGGCTGTGCAGCCAAGGGAAATACTGCATTCCTCATTAATCTTCGGACTCGAAGACAAGTCTTATTATTATTATTATTATTATTACTTCCTCGCCCAAAACTCCCTCAGGACGATGGGGGATAGCAGATGGTAGGGTCCGAACCCGGGACCACTGAACGATAGTCCAGAACGCATTCCTCACGACTAGGCAGCCATCGTATGAATACATAGATCTGTGATTTATGTCAATTATAATTGAAAATCAGAGCGCTATTCCGAAATACGGAAATGAATCAATTAGATCTAGAACTTTAAAAAAAACAAAAGATCGTTAATTTTTTATTATTTTTTTTTAGAGGGAAATGTGACTTCACTGAATTAATTAATCTCCGCGTTTCTATATTTATATATATAGGTCTGTGTCTCTAATCTAAAATATGGACCTATCTGACATTTGATTTCAACTTTTTAATGTTCTCACTTTGAGTTGGTAACTTCAGAAAGAGCCCCCATCACTAATGCATGTAAGAAAAAGTTATCTTATCTTATATAATATATAATACAGACGTTACTTCCAAAAAGAAGATGATTATGTCCTACACGTCACTTTTGTCATTCAGGGAGGCTGAGGGCTTTGCAGTGGAATTTTGTGCCTTCTCGTGTGGCTGGTGAGACCTATGTAAGTCTGAAATGTTCGGCTGCACACTGGGCAGATTATTCCAGCTGGAGCTAGTGTCATTAGCCATGATTTTTGTCTCGGACGCTTTTTTTTCTACCAGTGCTATTGTTCTATCCTCAGCAATCTGTGCGCCAGTTTTTAGGGAGACTCTCAAAGCTGCTCTGAAAGCCTTTAGCATTGACCTTGTCACCTGGGAGACTGAAGCAATCGATAAAGCATCATGGCGTCGCGCTTTAAACTTTTTTTTTTTTGTTTCAACAAATCAGGTTTTATTAGTCCAACAAGTCAGTCCACCGCTAATGGGGTTCACTAATGTCAGACACTACACACACCTGTCATAAGTTCTCCATATTGTTACACTAATCGTTTCAATAATACTTGTGGGGTGTGTGGTCGACACCCGACTCGACCAGAGTTTACCGAGTGCCTAAAGCGAGTATGAAAAACCTTCTTTCAGATACCCCCACTGGTGCACAAAAGGGTTCGGACAATAGCGCTGCGAGCATGATATAAGCATGAAAGTTGCACTATATAAAAGTTATTTTAAAATAATTGGCCGATTGGTCGAGTATGTATATGGCCTACGCTTTGGACTGTCATCACCAGTTTGCTGAGCTCAAAAGCTGCCTTGCTGTACTGCATTGAAAAGGTTTGGATGTAATGATCATCTCTTGTGAAACGTCCAAACTTTTTTTTCTTCAATTAGAAGTGTTTACCCACAACACAATATTCAACTCGAGTAAAAATACTGGGATTATGAATTTCAGAACTTGAAGGACGCCCCCTCAGCTGGCCAAACTGTACTTGACATACGTTTGGGAAGTGATTGGATTTGATTGTTGTGCTGTCCACGTGACGTCCTCGTTAGAATAGCTGAACGTCGTCTCCCCCCCCCCCCCCGCCACTGATAGCTAGGTAATAAAAATGGTGAGCGTTGTTGCGAAATCATGCAGATGTTTAACCCAACTGAGGACACATCTGTTCAGAGAAACAAAAGCAAACCTGACCTCTATATTTAGCTTGACAAACTTTGAAAATATATTTCTTTAATGCTTGTTTTTTTTCTATTAAGCATTTTTTTTTTTGTTTGTTTTGTTTTTCAGATTAGTAAGCCATGGAAATAAAACGAGAAGTAGCCTATGGTATTGTCCAAGGTTTGAGTGACTTCTGGAAATCTGAAGAACTGCAAGATTTTACTGTCACACTTGGTACAACAAAGTTTGGGTGTCATAGGTTTCTCCTGGCAGCTTGTTCTGGCTTTTTTAGAGGACTTTTTAGATCCGGCATGAAAGAAACGGAATTAAAGTGTGTGACTGTAGAAAACATTTCAAATAAAACTTTTGAGTTGATCCTGGAGACTCTGTACACTGGTCGTGGTGTTTTGACCAATGACAGTATTATTGACATCTGGGAAGCTGCACAGCAATTACAAATACCTTTTCTAATTACAGAGTGTGAAGATTTTGCAAAAGCAACATTATCTCTGGACAATTACATTGAATATTATAAAACTGCCAAACTGTTTAACTCCAAAAAAGTATTAGACATTGTTTGGTCCTTTATCCTCAAAAACGCAATCTCTTTCTTCCAAACAGACTTTTTTTTTTGGAGATGCAAATTTCGGATGTTTTGAAACTGATCAAAAGTCAAGATCTTGAAGTAACCTCTGAAGATGCTGTAGTTTATTTCCTATATAAATGGTTGGAATATAAACCTCGCTAGGAAGATGAAATTTCTGAAAATTCAGACAAAGAATGTATGTGCCTGAATTCGGGTGAAAAAATGATCAGAACAGGCTACAACAGCTTTGAGACATCAGAGAATAAACTACCAAATGTTATAACAAATGATGCATCTGATGATAATAGAAAACAATATCTTTGTGATTTGATGTCGAATACAAGAACTTGTTTATTTAGCCCTAAGTGTTTGGAAAAGTTGATAAGTCACCCACTGATTAGAGAAAGCAAAGAAGCCACAGATATTATCATTGAGGCTCTATTTTCAAGTTGGCAAACGCAATGGACAGTGGCCACCTGGGGCTATTTATCGAAATAATGGCAACTT